CTATCTATTCTCGCTCTATCGTGTATTCTATCCTCTCCGATCAACGATATCACGCGTGTGGACACGTCCAAGTTCGACGACAAATCAGCAGGATCAGTCAGCGGGAAACGATGTTTTGAATTTTGACGTTCCATCCGCGCGACATTCTTCACTTCCTTCGTCTCTCTCTCTCTCTCTCTCTCTCTCTGTCTCTCCCTCTCCCCCTCTTTCTCCGTCTCTCTTTATTTCTCTCATGCTCTCGCTCTCCTTCGACTACGTGTGGGCGGTCGTGCCTGTGAAGCATCGTTAATGGAGGACCGCTTCCACGGCGGTGGCTGCTCCTACGGTGACTCTGCAACTTTGTCGCGCGAGCATCGTGGAAATAGCGGCGTACATTTCCGCCGCGCCGTTCTCGTCATCATTGCCGTGCATTATACGCGCGCACCTGTCACAGCAGCACTTGGTGCTGCTCCGTTCCGTGCCGCGTATCCGTAACGCGGTGCCACCGTTGTCGTCATCGTCATCGTCATCCTCGTCGTCGTCGTCGTCGTCGTTGTCATTGTCGTCATCGTCGAGAAGCCGCCACCGCCACTGCCATCCGCGCACAGAATGACGGCGCCCACTAGGATGTGGCGCATCGGTGAGTGAGTTTGTCACGCACGCACGCACCCACCTCGCGTCTCTCTCTGCTTCTCGGAAGAGGTTGATGGGTCAAGGTCGTCGGGCCAGCCAGCCAGCCAGCCAGCCAGCCAGCGAGCGAGCGAGCGAGCGAGGCCGAGCCGAGCCGAGCCAACGCGCAGGGCCTCCATCTGTCAAACAGCTGTTTGACTTCCGTACATCCAACTTCCTGCTGTGCATCGTCCCTTTCGTTCCGATCGCATCGATCTTCGTTTGTCTAAAAAATAAGAACGAAATGAAGTAAAGTTGATTAATCGAAACTACAACGGGTTTTCACATTTTCGTTAGATCACGTCGATCCTTTTGCCGTGACGTTCACTTGAAATTAAATGTCCTTAATCAAAACCGATTATTGATTTGTTTTGATTATAATTTTTTCTTTATATCTATTAAAGCGTGATCTATATATAATCATTCGCTCTCTTTCTCTACCTCTTTTTCCCTCATGTCATGTGATGCGATTACGGTTTAAATATATGTCAATCTTCCAGCGAAGCTGATTAACTAAAATCATTGTTGTGACTGACTCTTTTCGTTTTGGATTAGAGTTGTCTTCGACTTGCAACCCGAGTTGCGAATTGTATTCCTTTTGGTCCGACCGTACTGAAATTAGTCACTGTTATAAATTCGTTTTTCTTTTTATGATATAATCGAGTGTAATGTATGTACCACACATTCAGAAAGATATATATATATGTAAGAAAAGATTTCATTAATTCTGAACTGTTCAGAATTATTACTTTTGGCTCGAAATTGAAATGTGTCAGTACTTACGCCTATTTTCATTCCTACTTCTCACTTCATTGCTGTTTTGTCATAGCGCGCTACGCTCGTTCAGGAGGTACGTACGATACTATAAGTCTGAAATTGTTAAGTTTTTTATCTGCATTAGTTATTATATTTAAAAGTATTGTATTACTAATATTATAAGGTGTTATTGTCCATAATATATCCAACTATAAAAATACATGAATATATACACACACACACACACATACACTTACATATGTATTGTGTGCGCACGCGTGCACGCGCTGTATACAGAGTGTCTCAGAATGACCGCCAAATATTTCATGTGCTGGTAGAAAGGATTAAACTGAACTCTAGCATTTTGCAATTTTCGCAATAGTTAACAAGATATTAATTACTAAATATTGCCGAATATTGGTTTCCAATAATTTTTTACTCAATATTATCAATTTTACAGAAAAACAGCAAGTAACAAAAATTGTTTATTTTCTTCTCATAGAGTTCTGAGAATTTTTTCAGAATTTTTCATATCACATTTTTTCACTTTGGTAAAAATAGTTGCCAATAAGAAAATGCAGGACTAAAAGAATTAATAAACAATTATGGAAAAATTCTTGGAGCTCTTTGAGCTGAAAATAAACAATTTTTGAATAAAATTTCAATCGGGAAATTGCATAATAAGCGCGAGGAGTCTCGTCGCTACGCTCCTGCGTATTCCGGCTGCGCGCTATCTGATTGAATTCAAGTTTAATTGTTATTAATAACTCGGTAAATAATGGTCTGAGTCAAAAGTGGGGAAAGGAACTTTTAGTTCAAAATTTCATTCTCTTTTACTCCAAGAAACATTTATTAAACGTTATGGGACACCCTGTATACATATATATAAAATTTTTATAATTAAATATATTATGAATAATAGTATTTTATATTTCGGACTAGTCTCATACCTCCTAAACGAGCATAGCGTGCTATGACAAAACAGCAAGTGAGAAGTAGGAACGATAATAGACATGAATATCTGTAAATTTCAATTTGAAGCTAAAAGTATCCTGTTTGGATAACAGCTCTACATTAATTGGATGCACTGCGATAACTTAAAAAAACAGAACACCCAAGAAAGCGAATGATTTCGAGTGAAGTTATGATTACATCAAAATTCCTGATGCAATTGTACGATACGTCTTATTCATATTCGATTTTAATGGATACTCAGTTGTGCGCGTTAACTTTTTTTTGTAAATAATTTTTCTCGATACATTTTTTCTAAATTACATGAACTGATATACTTACCGTTGATCACGAAAGATTAACTGCAATCATCTCGATCTTCCTTTAATATAGAATCATAATTTTGAATGAACAAAAAATCGTTAATTAAGCACGTTTGTTTTTGCATAACGAGATATTTTTTGTTCCTTTGCGCATCGATTTAAAGTCATTCGGCTTTAATTTTCCGAAGTTTTCTTTATCGTTTTTGATCGGTCTAAGATACTGTGACTCATGTTTTAAGAAAACGACTTTTTGCCAATGCATCCCGAAGATTTCTAACAAGATTTTGGTATATCTGTAACGTAGGCCGATATTTAGAGTCCGTTCTTATTTCAAAATCGTCTTAAGTAATTTCATGCTGTTAATACGGCGCTCTGATCGGTTTGTGTCATCTTCAGACTTTACTTAAGACAGTCTTAAATATAAGAATTGATCATGGATACCGCCCGTAGAATTTCCGGACATAACTTGAAAAAAAATTTTATTTTGAACATTTTATTATTAAAAATATTTAGTAAGATAGTAAGATCTCTCTCTTTGTTGTACACTCATATACATTATAAGCCGTTTCATCGCGGCAAGGTGAAGATTGTCGGGTGTGTGTGAAGCTAGCGTCTCACTTGGTGGAAACTCATAAAATATTGAGAGTTTTGAGTTTATTTTCAATAGTTCTATAGTATTCTATGTAGGTTAAACAAATAGTTTCGGCCATTAAAGCCGAGAAACCGGAAATATAAAATGAGATGCCAGTTTCACACAGCGGCAACTTTGTCTAACGAAAACAAAGTTGCCGCTACACGAGAATTATCGTAGAACTATCAGAACTCTTTAAAATCCGACAGCGTCTAATTTTCGTTCCCATAAAGACCATTTTTTAGGGGAAAAAATTGTTTAAAAATTAAAATAACAATGTTATAATCGTCAGAACTCTCTTTACAACTATATATCTTTTCAAATCCTACAAGAAAATTTGGCTGGAACCTTCGTTAGACAAAGTCGGCGCTGCGCGAACCTGGTGTCTCATTTTGCATTTTTGGTTTCTCGACTTTAATGATCGGGACTATTTGTTTAACTTATATAGAACTATAGAACTATTGAAAAAAAACTCAAAACTCAATATTTTATGAATTTCCACCAAGTGAGGCGCTAGCTTTACACACGATTATCGGAACGGTTTTTTTTTCATTTTTTGCCCTTTTAAGATTTTTATTTTTTTTTATGTATTTAACTGTTTTGTTTGAATTTTTTTAGTTTTTTACCTGTTTTAGTTTATTGTATAGTGTATTTAAGAAAGATTTGAGGTCTAAACACAAGTATGAATAAAATAATGCGTATACAATAAACGCAATGTTAAATAAAAAAATAATACAATATTAAAATAAAATTTGTTAGCATTTTTTGCTGTATTGTTTTTATTTATTTTTTCTGCAATTCTCTGACCTTGGCAACGCCACTCAAGATCAATTTTATTCTATCTTATGTGCCCTTAGAAGTCACAAAACTTTTGTCTGAACATATATTTTTCATTTAACACATACTCCTTCAGAGATAATAGTTTCTAACACTTTAAGTGGGTCAAATTGTATATAGCGGGTGTTTAAAATAAAGCATTACAAATTTTTATCTTGGAAACAAAGCATTTTAGAAAAAAACATTTTATATAAAAGTTTTGTAACTTCGAGGATACGATATGAGATAATATCATTGGTTTGAACTTGAGTGGTATTGTCAAGGTCAGAGGAAGGTCACATACAATTTTTTTGAGACTCCATTTTTTATTACATATTTTCGTAGCTTACCTCGAGAGCTTTCCAAAACACTATCATGAAATATTTTTTCAATGTTTTGAAAAGCTCTTGACACCAGCTATTAGATTCTGGCATCAAAAAAGGGTGTCCCATTTAAAAAAATCGATTTGACCTTGACCTGACCTTGACAACACCACCCAGGGTCAAACTGATAAGATCTGTAAATAGATCTTTTTATACCTGACAATTTGTCTAAAACATTTCTTTCAAAAATCTTTCATCCTTCCGAGTAAATCCAGGGTCCCGATCTTTTTTAACACCCTGTATATATACACACAGGATGTCCATTCAAATCTCTCAGAAATCTCTCACTGCATTAAATCGAAAAATGTTTCAGACAAAAGTTTTTTGACTTCGAGGAGGACATAAGATGCTATTGATTTGACCTTTGATGGCGTTATCGAGGTCAGGGCAAGGTCACTTTAAATTTTTTAAATGGAACTTTCTATTTTTCATTACACGTTCTCATAATTTATCTCGAGAGCTTTTGAGAACACTAGAACAAACTATTTTTTTCATTAAATACTTTTCGAATTATAAAGACATGAAAGTTACAGTCGACATTAGCGTTACTCAAGATATCCCATTGACTATTAAAACCTTTTAAATTTTGTTCAGAATCATGACCTGTATAACATTTGTCAAAATCAAGACCATTGGACGTTGTACCTATTTTCATTTTTGCACTGAAAATTTATTTTTATGTAAAAATACATATTTTTATTCATATTTCGCTGCGTAATACACACAATATTCCAGAATTCACGCACATGAAGCAAACGCGTGGCAACATACGCCGTCAAGTTCATAGTTGCTAACAATGGCTGCGTTCAGCAGAGAAAACTAATCAGTGTGCGCTTAGTGATTTTTTCTTGTTATATGATTTGTTCTTGCCTTTAGTTCTTTGCTGGATCTAAGTATAAGAACCAATCATATTAAAGAATCACCAAGCGCTAACTGATTAGTTTTCTCTATTGAACGCAGTTAATAAATACGCGAGTTGTTTACTACAAGCAGCAATGGCAACGCACGAGTGGCGAAAGAAACATCTCCCCGTTCTAGACGGTTGTATCTCGTTCGTCTCGCCGCGTGCTTCGAGTTTGGCGGTAGCTCGGGCGAACACGCGCTCGTTTGGATATTCTTAGAAATTAATATCTTATTAACTTGCAATTGCGAAAATTACAAAATGATATAACATTTTTCAACTTATTGTCAGTTTAGTTTGCTTTTTCTGCCCATAAGCGGTGTTCCATCCACAGTCCAAGTATAAATAGACTGCCGACTTCGCCTCCATGTTTGAAGATAGCGCTGAGCAGCGTCATATTTGTGTTCACTCACTCTCATATGTATAAATTGTACGGATAATAACGTTGATGTTTTCATATAAATTCACGCAATGTTCACAGACAAAACGCATACATACACATATATGAACTGAAACAAGAACAGCTCAGAATTAGGCTTATCTCTGTCTATCACACTGAATCAGCAGTCTAGTTATAGAAGTCTGTAGTTCCATCTAATGTCAGATACTCTGTATAAGACATGATTAAAAGAATGGTTTGCTTTAATTTTACAGGTGGAGATGGAACGTATCATCTCAAAGTGTTGGTTCCCGGTGTGGCAGCCGGGGCCATTATCGGCAAAGGTGGAGACACGATTGCTCAACTTCAAAAGGATACAGGGGCAAGAGTGAAGATGTCTAAATCGCACGATTTTTATCCGGGTATATATTTAGCTTTCAGTGCACGCGTGTTCTCGCAGCTGCCTTTATTCGATTAATTATCGTTTCATTTGTCTATTACAGGAACTACTGAGAGAGTATGCCTTATCACAGGCACCGTAGATGCTATTATGGAGGTCATGGAGTTCATCATGGACAAAATACGCGAGAAGCCTGATCTTACTTCGAAAACTACGGTTGACTTCGACTCTGGTAAAGCCACCGCGGAGAGGGACAAGCAGGTATAAGATTGAAATATTTTTAGCGTAACATTTTTTTCCTGTTTTCTATTAAAACATTTTATGTATAGGATGTATGTATATTTTTAAAGAAATACGAATTTGTTAATAATTGCTTCTTATATAAAAGTAATACGACATTAAAAATAGTTACAGATTTTGAAATAGCTTTTTTTAGGCGTTGTGTATTTAGAATGTCTTCTAAAAATAATGCGAATTTGTGCTATTTAATATTAATAATTTTTTATACTATATTAATATATTATTAGTAATTTTTTCGTGGGAAACAGTGGCACTAATAATATTTACTTAAAAAATACGAAACTTAACAAATATTGTATGCGCGAATGACACGAGGTCTGATCTGAACTGCTATTTCAGGTTAAAATTTTAGTGCCTAATAGCACTGCAGGGATGATAATAGGAAAAGCTGGGAATTACATTAAACAAATTAAAGAAGAATCTGGCTCGTATGTTCAAATCAGTCAGAAGGCTAAGGACTTGTCCCTTCAGGAGCGATGTATAACGGTGATTGGTGAGAAAGAAAATAATCATAGGGCGTTACATATGATCTTAGCGAAAGTGGCGGATGATCCGCAAAGCGGTACCTGCCTTAACGTCAGTTACGCGGACGTAAGTGGTCCTGTTGCCAATTACAATCCTACAGGCAGCCCGTATGCTCAAGCTCCCACAAGCACTCCTACGTATACATCTACAGCTGGTCTAAATACAGGTTAGTACTTAGGTACTTAGTTAAGGAGTCTTTTAATAATGCAATAAAGTATTTCCTATGTGATGAATATATTTAATTGTTGTTATAGGACAGCGTTTTCGATTATAAGATTATTGTCTAATAATATTCATAGATGTAAGAAGGCTATAAGCATGCTTTTCCTTAATTTTTATTACTTAATTTCTTCAGTGACGTCACTTTGATGAAAATTTTTTTTAGAATTCTGCAGATAATTAAAAAAAATTTTTTTAGAATTTTGATATAATTTTATAAGTTTTTAAAAAATTTTTTAGATTTTTTGTAATACTTTTTAAAAATGTTGAAAAAGCCTACATCTTTTTCAGAATTTTTTGTACATTGCCGGAAATTGAAATTGCAACATTTAGAAGGAAATATCATTTTGGGATCAAAATTTATAGATATGTTGGAGAGGGCAACGTGAATAAACGATTAAACACAGTAACTAAGAAATAATATCCATACCAGTCGAAGAAAGAAATAATATTTAGTCTCATATGTATATTTCCGGACTGTGTAACTTTACGGCGTAGCTCGAAATTGAACTTTACGTGATATCAATCAGAAGTCTTTTCTGTCAGTTGAGACAATTATTAGACTATTATAGCCATGGTTTTTTATTTGGTTAACTTGTGGTTAAGCTTAACCTGATATTTTATCCAATGGGCTTTATCTATAATGATGTCATGGATAAAGCTCATTGAATGAAATATCAGGTTGAGCTTAACCTCAAGTTAACCAGATAATGAAAAACATCCAACAGTGTGAACAATGTGTTCAACGGGTGTCCAATATCATCCTGTAGTATGCTTTTTAAACTTGTTCCATTTATTCATGAAGCAGAGAAAGTGAAGCTGTAGATATCATCTTCAAAACTGCAGATACTATATACCGTAGCTCTCGTGGGTTAAGGATTACTAAACGTGGATTTCTGAAACTTTAATAATTTGTTTATATAACTCCCATAAATGATATATAGAGTTTCGTTCTAATCAAAAGTCTACTTTTTGTGTGATGTTACAGTTTTGATTTCCGACACTATACATGGCTATAAAATTTGGTGAATGTTATAAGAAAGAAGTTTATCGAACTTTGAAAAAATGAGTAATAATCACAATATTTTTCATTTTTTGTTCTTTTTGTCTTTATTGTTATAGTTTTAAATTAGAATGAAATGTAATTAAACGAAAAATTAAATCACTTTTTTCTAACTTTACAAATTTATTCCTGAAGGAATTAAATAATTGCTGAGGCGAGAGAAACTGTAAAATTTGCAGTGTTCTCTAATTAAATGAATAAACTATTTTTTATATATTTTTATGAAGCGATTTAAATTTTATTTATCGATATATGTGAGCGTGGAAAAGAAATCCTAATCTGTTTCACTTCAGTCAATTAATTCGTCAAGCTTGAACATCTATCGGATCTTTTTATGATTTAACGAAATTTTCATTGTTTTATCATTTGTAATTAATAAATACGATGATTGCCTATTTCTTTTATAGTGAGTCTCTTAAATGGCGCTGGTTTGAGTCTTAATCTAAATCTGGGCGCGGCTATCACCGCTGGCACGGCGCCGGTGACAACGCAGCTGTTGGAACACATAAAATTGAATCTACGTACGACAGGTTTCTCCGAGCCTGCTGCAACGGAGATACTTGCTGCGATCGCGACCCTCGCTAAGTACAATATCCTCGGGATGGGGATCGGGATGCCGTCGAGTATGAGCTATTTGGGTAATCCGATGGACAGTACGACAACTGCTAACGGCTCGAACAACAACGGCGGTGTGTTCGGACCGATCGGGACCGTTCCTGCGCTCGGGTCTACCTCGCCGACTCCGCGCAACACCCTCGATCGGTACGAGCCGTTTGATCCATTCCGACAGAACAACACCGCCGCCAGTGCGATACACCTGAACAACAATTCATTCGGCCTGGGCACTAACCAGTTATCACTTGTAAGTAAGAGTCCTACACAGGTAGACGCCAACAACAAGGAGACCAAGAAAGTAGACATAGAAATTGCAGAGGTTATAGTGGGAGCTATTCTGGGACCCGGTGGTCGTGCCCTCATTGAGATTCAGCACTTAAGTGGCGCCAACATACAAATCTCTAAGAAGGGCATGTTCGCCCCTGGTACCAGGAACCGCATAGTGACTATCACGGGTTATCCCAATGCAATCAACACTGCTCAGTACTTGATCGAGCAGAGGATCAGTGAAGAGGAGGCAAAACGAGCGCGTCAGAATGCCATCGCCAGTATGATCCATTGATTTCAAGTATAGCACTCCTCTTGTTCATCGCCATTATTGAGCTCCGTTGTTCACCTCTTCATATCTTGAGAAAGGAGAACACGCCCGGCCACGACGGTTTTCTTCTTTCTTCTACTTTTGACACACAAACACACATTCACTCACTCACACACACATACACACACACACACACACACACACACACACACACACACACACACAACATCGTCCATCGCCAATTTACCGCCCATTGTCATCTATCGCGCTGCGTTGTCACTATAGCGCTTGCATTGTCACATCATTTACGTTTATACATCCATCATGGCTCGTCAACATTTATCTATTTTTTAAGATAATTATGATATATATATATATATATATATACATATATATATATACACACATATGAATATTATATATGTTGTACAATATATAACTACTACGATTGTTCTGTGATACACACCTTACGGGGCTTTATCACACACGACACACGCATACTGCATCAGAGTTGCCACAAGTAACTAATTGTTATTGTCTATAGCGTATTACCGTTGAGGTAATCCACTATATTATTGTTATCGGATTCGGAATATATGATATGACATCTCTTTTAGCCACGCGTTCACATCATACTGACTACTACACGACACCCGGCTTCTTCTCAGACAAACCTTTGTCTAGATAATCACATCCCCAGTTTTTATGAATCCAACGTTATGCATTCACCGTAATTGAAAGATTCACCTCATATAGAACTTAACGTTAAAAAATGGCACTGTAAATCTGAATCAATCATCAATTGGTCAACTCAAATGTTGAAACAGGGATTCCATGATCAACATTCTCTGCATTGTCTTTCGAAATAGGAAATATTTAGACTAATAGATTTTTCTCGCTTTTTTGCAAAATATATTATTCACTTCGATCATACCAAATACAGAGTAATATCTTGGCAAAACCAAAGAGTTTATAGATACAAGATGTTTTACAAGGAAAGGGTTACGAGCTTTTAAGACTTAAAATTTTAGGCCTTAGAAATTTGTAAACCTTTCCCAAAACATCTCATATAATGCAAAAATACCTTGGCTGGAAATTTAATATATATATTTATATATACAAAGTGTTGGATGTTAGGTGTAACACCATTCATGGGTAGATAGAGCGAACTGTAGACTAAACTGAATCGAAAAGTCCTCTACCATTTCGCAATAGTTATCGAGATATTAATTTTTGAAAATCGCCAAATAAGTGCGTATTCGCTCGACCTATCACCAAATGCAAACGCGATATGATCGCTAAGCGCAGGGAGATGTTTTCTTTCGCCGCTCAAGCGTGCCAAGGCCATTTGTAATAAACAACTTCTCGCATGCCTATATAGGGTGTTTCCTCTAACTTGATCATTTAAAATATCTTCGTTGTTTTTGATGATACGGGAAAATTACTACAGGAAAAAGTTATTTGATTGGAAGGAACATATATTATGATGAGCAAAAAATTTTTCTCAGGGTCATAGTTTTGAAATTTTAAAGTCGCAATTTTTTTAAATGGAATAGTATATTTTCATTAATGTAGTAATGTAGTTCTTAAAAAAACAAATTCAACCATATATAATATGCTGTCCAGATGATCTTGGACATTTGAATAGATGTCCATAGTAAGCTACGATGGTGGGCACTTCTATCTCGTCATATTCGCCTGCATTTGGCAATAGGTCGTGTTTAATTGGCGATCTTTAATAATTAATATCTCGGTAACAATTGCAAAACTTGCAAAATTGTAGAAGACTTTTCGATTCAGTTTAATCCACTCTACCTATCCATGAATGGTGTTTCACCTAATATTAAATATCCTGTATATGTGTGTATATATATATATATAATATATATATAAACATATATTTATATATTTACAATCGCTGGCTGGCCCAGCTAAATAAGTATAATGGATAACTTCTTATTGCCAAGTTATATTTTTAATTCCAAAGTTTAAGTCTTATCTCAGAACGAACCTCATGTAAATTTTGTAGTGCTTAAATTAATATATATATATATATGTAGAGAGAGAGAGAGAGAGAGAGAGAGAGAAAGAGAGAGAGTTATATGTAGATGTTAACATCAAGTGTTGTTATTTTTAAATTAAGTGCCGAGTAGTAGTTGCAGCCATATCGAATAATGACGTTATAAGCGAAAAATGATACGTTAGAGTTTCTTGTATGCCATTTGTAATAAAGAGAATTTGGATAAAAAACATAATGACATTGCTTTAAAACACTTATAAAAATGGGTCGAACTTATTCTTACCTCCTGCGACAGTCAGTAAGTAGTCGTAAAAGGCACTTGAAGTGAAAAAATATTACACGTGCGCATTAAGTAAACGCGTTTTTACTAACTGTTTACTGACTATCAGCGGGGCCATTTTGACAAGTATTTTAAAACAATCTTGTTATTTTGTTTTACTCAAATTCTTTTTACAAATAGCATGCAAGAAATCAAAGAGGATTAGATAGAGCGGAAGGTTCGCATATATCACGACGAGAGTCCGAGGCATACTTACGTTCCTAATTTCATTTTTAATGTATGTAGATAGAACGGAATATCGGGTATAACGAAGTATTCGGTCGTGTAATTTTAGTGTGGAGGTATGAAAATGAGGAATCTCGAGTTCGAAATTCGAATTCTGTTCGGCTCCGTTAATTTTCTTATTACTATTGATAAATGCAGCATCAGACTCACAAGATAGCGTTGACAGTAATATACGCGAAAATATATTACGATTTCATAAGGACCTTCCGCTCTGTCCATTCCTTTTTGCAAGAAACTTCAACATGTCGATTTTCGTCAAGTGAAGAGCTGGTATCGACTCTGGGAGTAACACTTTGAATGAGTACGAATTGATCTGAATGTGGAGCCTCTATTCCCCGAGGTTATTATTGGATTTTTTGATCCAAAATCATCGCATAGTACTGTGACCTTGTGCATTGGTTCAGAAGTCCAAACAAGAAGGAAATTCAAGAAGAAGAAGAAGAAGAACAAACTTCGACATATCATTTCTCGCTTATAATGTCACGATCCAATATGGTCGCGGCGACTACTCAGGAGACTTTTACATGTATTTCTAAGGAATAAAAATCTATTTGCATGCGCTAGCATTTGTTCACTAAGATAAGTAAATTTTTTGCACATCATGTTAAATGACATTTTCAGATAATAATCTGTTCCATTATTTATATATGTAGAACTTTTAGTCTAATTATTTCCTCTTCTAAGGCGATCGTCAGTTGACTACGATTATTTATATATATATTTTTACTTTAGTTTCATTTAATCGGACTTGACATTGGAATTTATTATTACGTGCCTTTGGGAGAAAGTAGTGTGTATGGGCGTTTACTTTCTGGAAATGACGTAAACGCTTGTTCGTAAAATCCCTTTTGTAGGTCTTTTATTTGTACACGAGCGTTTCTCGATCATTTTCCCTTATATTATATGCTTGAATTTTTACCAATGCAATTTCGTGTATTTTAATTGATTTATTAGAGATATCAAATAATCGATCGTAAACGTTGATACGAGAATTTACTGTTGACTATTTTAATTATTATCTTGGAAAATCTCGATTACATTAGCCACATTACGTGATTTGGGGTTTCGTATGGTAAAAGAAGCGTTTGTATGGAACGCTAGGAAATTTTCGTTTTTATGATAAAATGTGAGCCAAATGGAAAATTTTAATAAATCTTGAAGCTTTCTCACCGAGAAGTAAGCCGACAGATTATTAAATATATTAGGATTGGTTTAACAATTTTCAGACAAATTTATTGCGTTTCCGCTGTTAGATCGAAGGAAAAAATATTCACTACGAAAGGTTTTTATAATCATTCTTTCTGTGGGAGTAGGAAAAATATAGGAAGGGATGATACGAGTTAGATAGTAATAAAAAATGGATTTAGTTAAAATAATTATTGAAATGTTAGCTATATAGTGTTAAATAAAATATAAAACTGTATATAAGTGTGCGTGCGTGCGTGCGCATACATTTATACGTTATATACACATAAGCACATATACAGGGAGTCCGATAAGTTCGACTCAGTTTAGTTCGCTCTACCTGGGGCCCTATTCTGTACACGCTAATTGTCAATGGCGTTATGTGTTATTGCGCAGTCTTTTTACCATACAAAATATCTACGCAATACAACACCGACCATTATCGGTAGACATGTACAGAAAAACCCTTCCACACAAGCACTTTGTCAAAACTTACAGAATATCCTGTATATATGTATACATACATATACATAAAACACACACACACACAAAATTCATAAGCTGGTGACATTGGTTTACCGTTCTTTAAACATTGACTTGTATATTTCTAAATATTACATAACGAAAATAATTCTAGATAATATATTATACAGAGATGCTTACACACACATACATATATATATATACACAAAAATATATATATACACAATATATATATATATATATATATACACATATATATACATTAAAGCTTAATATAAGATGATCGTAATACAAAGATTAAACTATTGAGATTTATGTTTATCCATAAATTCTATGTGAACTATTTTCAATTAAACTTCACTGTGTTGCCCAATTACATTAAAAAGTCACCGAAATATGGAATAACTAACTAAGTTGCTGTAGATAGATAGATCGATTCTAAAGTTTTAAGAGAGTATAACTGTAAATTAATAGCATTAATTTAATTTATGGATTAGTGTGTTCTAATGGCCTTTGTGCTATTAACGCTAACGGCAGCATAATATATATTTCATTACATATTGATTAATATATTATATAATATAATCATTATTATACAACATAATCATTATTATATAATAATATATCATTGTCATGTATTTTCTGGTCATCATATTAGATTGGCTATCATTAATTCATCGAGTTAAAAAATCTTTAATTATAGTTGGCTACGAATATTATCTGGCTGATTGCCAGTAGGGCGAACGATGTTACTAAATTTGTCGCATAATACAGAGTTGAGCGCGTGAAAGAAAGGAAAGAGAGGCATTTGTCATTCGAATTGGCCATTAGTCGTTTATCGCTCGCGGACGCTTATTGTAGGACACTGACACAGTTCCACATTGCTGCTGCTACAAATATGTACGTTACCTATTAGATTTAATATTATTTATTCGTCCTTCATATTCACGATTATTTATCATTTTATTTATTCGCAGACAGACGCGTCGAATTGTGAAGCTATTGTCTTAAGGATCGGTATCTTTATTTTATATTCTCTCGTTGTTAAAGTTGTGAAAATAGCTGTGTAGTTTTTATCCAATTGTAACACCAAGTGATTGAGATTGGACGGCAAACTCTTGACTTTCATGTATATGTCTCTGGGAAGTTATCACACGAGCAATCACTATACTTCATTCAAAGGTCTCAAATCTTCGATCCGTCATTTGTCTCCAAGCTCGTTCACAGTACGTTACTGTACATTCGCAGTCACACAATAATCCTAGAGCCGAACTCGAACGATAGATAAATTACAAGAAATAATTGCCGTACGCGTATCTTCTCGTTTCTTTGTTAGCGCGGAGTGTGGAGCACACTAATTTTGTGATATATATCGCCTGTTGGTACAAATAACACAAGTTATGACGTACATGTTTGTAGAGACGCAATATCCGAGTGAGGAAAAAGTAGGCGGAGGACGGATAGGAGGTGGTCCTTCTCTGGCGAACAACTTGTAGGTAGCATCCACACTAAACTAGCATAGGATTACAGGTTCTCTTTGATATTAAATACATTCCGTAGTAGAACAGATTGCATATAAGACTAGCTGTGATGGAAAAAGAATATATGTTAAAAAAAGAATATATTATACCAGCTGCTAATATATGAAGGATGACAAGAGACGAGCTACATTTGATAAAATGTAAAATTGTAGGATGTATTTATTTGCGTATGTAAAGTGATTGCGAAAAGTTCGACCGAGGTAAGAAGAGGTCGAGAAAGGAAGCAAAAGCTTTGTCAATATGCAAATGATTAAATTTAATATGCCCGGATTAAGAGTATTACAGGGCAATCTTGCGCGCAATGATGTATTTATCACGATGGGAAATGACAAAAAAGAGACCAAAATGAGACCGATTCCCTTCCTGCGTAAAACATATATAGCTCATAAAACACGAATTTCCTTTCGTATATTTCTCGGTAAGAATCAAATACAAGTGAAAGGAGAGCACAGATCACGTATTGAGGCCATAGCGCGAATCAGCCAGTCTAACATAAGTATTCTCCTTAGTGTAACGTTGGTTTAAAGTGTACCGTCTGTTATATATTTTAGTAATTAAATCGATACTGTTGTTCGTAGAGTTTGCAGAGTTTTACGTCGAAAGCGTTACTTCGACAGCGGCTCGAGTGTTTCCTCACAATGTGCAATCTGTTTAATCCAGTATAGCGAGGGGTACATCTCAGAAATATCTCTGATTGAAGGTATTCTTAAAACACAGATAATAACGAAGTTAAATAATTAAACCTTGCTATAGATGTATTTTTGAAGATCCGAGAAATTAACAGCGAGGAAAATGTAAAGAATTTCAATATGCATTTCTGAGGCATAATGACGTTAACGGGATTGTTTTACACCCGTTTCCGGAAAGGACTGTCCTCTCCGATATTCTCTCCCGAACAAAGATGAGTGAAGCATGAATTGCAGCCGTTACCGTTATCGAAGTAACATTCGGCGGAATTTTCCGATGTTGCTTAACGGCGTAAATGTATATGCGTTAGTGTAGCAATATATATGTGTATATGTGTGTGTGTGTATATATATATATATATATATACATACACACTTACATATATATATCTTCGATATATTGCGTTTAAACGATAATGTCAAGAAACGCACGATTCCGCGTGTAAACTCCAAATACATGAAATCGGTCCCCTGTGTGCGCGGCCGATATTAAAGTGGAGATAATTTTGTCACGAATATCAGGTCGACAATCGACATACCGCAATATATATATATATATATATATTGTATGTATAATAATAGTAGAGCGTTATATACTTATGTACATGTGTATTGGTGACAAAATTATTGTATCGCGTGTGACGATATTAATTTGCGATAGAAAAATCGTTAAGTCCTTTTCGAGCCAGCGATTGCAAGGAAAATCGCTTTCCATGGATTTTCCTTTAAATTTCTTGTTCAAAGATCACGTAATTAGTAATCGTCGAGAGAAGACGTTAAAATATTTTTCGCTCATTTTACATTTACAGAGAAAGGATTATCAGTCACGAATAAGAACGATTCGATTTCGATCGAGATAACGATGGTAAAGGAAAGGACAAAACACTTAACGCATGTCGTTGAGGATTTTCCAAGACAATTGATACGGCGATTTTGTAGCGGCTGCATCTGCACAATGTGGCAAAAGCAGTATTAGTCGGCCAGTCAATGTTACCTACGAGTTGTTTAAGCGAGAGGACGATGTGTTACGACCGGCAGTCATTGCCCACCCTTGTTAGAAGAATCTTTTATTTTTTCATACAGCGCTTTGTTTTGTACAGTTTAAGATATATTTCTCCGTTCCGCAAATTGTTGTTGTAAGCGCGAGAAAGGATCGCGGCGCGATGGGTAACACGCGTGTACGCGTCGCGTCGCCAGTTGATAGTTGTAACCGCAGTACACAGGCGTGTAGATTATGTGTAGCTAGTTTCTTAAATTTCTTACGGAATTATGTCATTGCAGAGCAAGTTAAACTAACAATAAATTACCGACTCTATCCAAGACAAAAAAAAAGAAAAAGAAAAGAGGAAAATAATTATGTATCTGTATACACACAAGTACGCTCGCACACGTGCACACGAGAATACATGGAACGAAGGGAGGAAATGTTAAATTATAACTCTTATAAAAGAAATATATATATATATATCCATCTACACACACACACACACACGCGCGCACACACACACACACACACACACACACACACACACACACACACACACAAGAAAATGTGGTGTAGCGTAGTAATCAGGGATGTAGGAATTGCATTGACTCGCCTCAATTCTAATTATGACTATTATTACGGTAACTATATTAACTGAATTTGACACTCGTCACTGCGCGGAGGGTGACTTGCGTGTCACGTTACTTGGCTGTGTGTGTTAGGTTACATCGTAAAAAAAAAATCATGTTCCATCGTACTTTCATTGCTTCACTTCGCATTAAACTCCATTAAACCCGGATGCGAGACGAGAGAGAGAGAGAGAGAGAGAGAGAGAGAGAGAGAGAGAGTGTGAAAGTGTGTGTGTATGTGAAGAAGGAAGAGAAAAACTCGAGAGGAATAAAATGGAGAAAAACGCAAAAAGAAATGCAAAACGATGGCATTCGGAATCGCGTTTTATGCTGAGGGTAAAAAAAGAAAGAAAGGATCTTCTGTCATCCGCACTTCACACCCTTTAGTGCCATATCGAACCCTCCCTATCCTACATTATCTCCTTTCCTTACTATCTCCCTTCCTTAACCATTTCACTTGTTAACGTTTAACCGTAGAACGTGTTGTTAAAGATGTGTATATCCTGCGTGATGCACGCAGGCCGTTTTTAATAAAAGACGGACTATATCATTCATTTCATATTAATATACATAAATAACGTCGTTATGGAACATTATGAGATACTTTATTACACCTGCTCTTAGTTTGCGGTATATCGAAAAGTAGGGATTCTTATAGCGTCCAAGAATATCGTAGAAAAGAACAAAAGAGATAAGAAAAGAGTTAATACAGCAGGGATAGTAACAACTCATCCTCCATTATATACACTGACTGCTGCAAATTGAGAGAGATGTTATTTAATGAATACTTTAATTCCAATGTTGTCGCGTTACACGTTCACGTTTCATAGTTTTACATAGCCATATGTCTTGTTTTAGCTTATTCTATATTCTATATTCGATCGGCATCAATAACTAAAGTAAAAAATGCAACAGCGTCTAATTGATACATATGTGCACGGCAATTTGTCGAATTAGTTCGAAATTAATTATTACGATTGCTGCTGAAGAAAAACGCAAAGAGAAAGATACGATCGCATAAGTTTTACCTCAAGAACAAGAAAATTCAAAAGCGCAATTATTTTAAAAGTTACTGGCAAAGAAAGAGTTGTATTAAAGATGTCCGTATCGATGGATCGCGAGGGCCTATATATCGATTGATTAATAACAGATAAAAAAAAGAAGAAAATGCAGGCATAAATTAGTAAACTGTTCGAGATATATTACAATTAATTGTTACGTTAAAAAAAGTGTTGCATTTGTCTCTATAAAGAGTTTTCTCTAATTGTTAGTTTACTGCCACTTTTTTTGCAATCGTTCGCTATAATCAAATGTTTAAATGATAGAGATAGAATATTTGCCAATAGCCAAGGAAATTAATATAAAATGTTGTGTATATATATATGCATATATATATATATATATATATATATATATATATAAAAATAAATGACTCACACAATAACACTCAATAAAATATATATATAGAACGACAATAGCGGACGTGAAGTTATTTATATAGTACGAAAGTATACATAAAGATTATCGGAGATCACAGGCATTCGAAAATCATTCGATTAAACGCGACTTGAAATATTCCTCATATCACGATATCTTCATTTTCCTAAATGTCAGCGACATTCTCATGAAGTAACACGTTAAGTCCATCTTTGACTAAGAAATAAAAAAAGAGAGGATTAAATAAAATTATATTGTATTATATATATATATATATATATAACGATAACTGGAACGCGTTCGTTACGAGATAATTAAGAGGGTTGTACAAAATTATATGTAATGTTATTTTGTCGGAAGTGAGAATATTGATAGAGCTAGAGATTGTTAATATGGTATATTATTTTTGGGTAAGCATAATGTAAAAAAAAGGAGAAAAAATCAAGAAAAGAAAAATTTAAGAGACTTTCGGTGTGAGATCGTTGTTGAAATAGCACATAGCAGCTCGGGGATAAAAATGGAGAATTGAAGAAAAACAATTAAATAATATTAAGTAGCAGGAGAGAGAGAGAGAGAGAGAGAGAGAGAGAGAGAGAGAGAGAGAGAGAGAGAGAGAGAGAGAGAGAGAAGGAGACTATTAAGTACCTTGTTGAGTATAAGTAGTCGTATATTGCTATAGATCGCAAGTGCACGTGGGTGCGCGTGTGCTTTCATCCTACAATTCATTCATGCGCGCGGGCGCACACATACACACAATATACTCATACACATTGTATAACGTCAAAAGTGCATGCTTACACGCAAATAGAAAATTTTGCAGACCGACAGAAAGACAGAGAGGGAGAAAACGCACGTTTGCGTTTTACTTTTACGATGATAAATCTTTTTGTGCGTTGCAATTACAACGTGTTCGTGAATTATTAGAGAGAGAGAGAGAGAGAGAGAGAGAGAGAGAGAGAGGCGAGAGGGAGGGAGAGAGAGAATAAATAAATTAGAGAAAGAGAGAGAGAGAGAGAATATATAGCGTTATCTTCCATAATATTATATATATATATATATAATATATATATATAAAATATATTATATATTATACATAAAATCGAGATATATGAAGGCGAAAGAGAAAGAGAGAGAGAGCAGCTGGCTGCGAAGGTACTATAGAGGGATTTTATTCGTCTCGCACCGATGATGAAATCATATGATCCAAGTATTGTACCTTAATTACATTCCTTCGGCTATAAAATAATTTAAGGACATACACACAAACACGTACATACATACACGCATACACACAGCAGCGCGTTTTCCTCATCATGCGTTTTACCGTTTTAGTTCGAATTATACCGCACACGATTAGACAGAAAATTCATTGTCACTCATCACACATTTTATCTCACAATTGTGTATATTACGATAGGTACGGCTCGACTTATCTTTTTTTCCTTTTTCCTTATCGACACGACACGAGAATGAGATGGCGGTGCATTATGAGCAATGGGCAAAATTGCATATTTTTTAATATTTCGAGATGTCTCTCGTCTCTCCGCGAAGAGAGAGTGGAGAAAACGAAAGATGGAGAGAGGAAGGATATTGCGATTCAGATTGCTAAAAAAGAGCTAAGAATTATCGATATTTACGATAAGTTTTAAGTAGTAAAAATTAGTCGTAACTCTACGGAAGGTACGGAAACACTTTAGATGAGTAACTAGAGATTCAGGAATGGTAAGGTGAAAGATTGTAATTCGTCGATATCGAAGGCAAAATGAGAGAAAGTCTGTGGTATCGTTGATGTTTGTGTTCTATTATAACTGTAGTTATAATCTTGCAAATCAAAAAAGTATGAAGGTATACCCGAAAAAACGTCACGGTCATTTTACCTTCGCGCAATCTTTTCTAGTTCGCTGTTACAAATTAAAAAAATTATTCGACAGTTCTCAAATGTGGACTACACGACGTTCCGATAGCATCGCGAGCGTCAAGATGGGAAAAAATATGTTCGGTCTCTCAGTCTTGAATAAGAAAGATGTAATGTCAAAAGTCACGAGAGCTGACGCATTTTTTTCTCTCTATTTGTCATGAAAATAGCCGACGCGGAATCTATCGGTGAAGTGTTAAATTTATTAACGGAGTCAGTTGTGACTCTTGGCACCGTTTTATTGCGGAGTATTTGTTCAACGTGAGGACTGTCATTCGGCGCAAAAAAATTCGGGCGCAAAATTGAATTTGAAAATTGGAAGAGCGACGCTATTTTTCAATTGGATGATACCACTCGACGATACCACGGACGGAAAAGTATTGCTCGGCAAACGAAATCGTGTGTGAGGGATTGATGAGCAAAAGAGAGCAAAAACGAGAGAAGGATACGATCTTGTCAGTGAGCAGATAAGAGCGCGACATTGTCAGGGTACGCATATTCGTACGGTTCAATAGAGAGAATCCTCTATTTGTTGATCAAAACTCGGAAAAAGAAAAAGGGAGCGATGATACGCGTTTTACTTTTGCACTTTCGCTCGTCGATGAAGTTTATCAATTGTTTGCTGTCCTAAGACTATTTTTGGGCACCACTATTGTTATCAATGAAGTATAATTTAGTTCACAGGCATTTTTTTTCTTTTGAAGGGCTAATCTTAATATTATTACTTTACACTCTAACCACATTTATTTGCATCCATAAATTGTTATTCTCTTTCATCATCAATTTATTCCATTCAATGTTGAATAATTATATAAAAGAGTAAAAAGAGAGAGAAAAGCAAATATAATATTAACTATTTTCACTCATTGAGAAGCATCGTTACCTGTATGACAAGTGACCATAATAAGAGCATAATAAACAATCGCTCATTAAATGCATTCTGTTGTTCTTCATTTCATGACCTGGCCACCATCCATACATCCATCCATTAGTCCATTCAATGTCGCAGTATGATCATATACATCATACGCGTTCATCTTTTCTTATTCACCAAAATGTCTCTGATCTCCGTTCTGCATACTCGATTTAGAAACGAAGCGCAATTGTGATTTTGTTGAAATTCGGCGAGTCTGTTTGAGTTTCCGCGTTTGTGGAGCGAATGAATCGCCGACGACGAAGATTTCGCAGTGAACGAGATGGTCTTCCGAATTTCGACAAAAGGAAAAAAAGGGCTGGAAGAGAGAAAAGAAAAACGTTATATTATATAATGGCAAAACGTACGATTTTGAAAGTAGCGTAGAGCTTATTATACGTTGTTATTTCGATTTTTATAAAAATTTTAATCTCTGTGGTTTATCGAATGTCCATGTTAGCTGATATTTTTTTTTTTTTTACAGAGAAACAGGAAAGCAATTGTCGACAAATAATATTTTTAAGAAAACGCGCCGTTATTATACCTAATCCATTATTCAATGCATTCCATTAGTATCAGATTTAATTTAGAAATTTTCGTTTTTTATATACCGCGTTTTTCCTCAATGGGAACTGTGTTGGTGCCCACCGTGTCGTTTTCCCCATCCCCTACTTCCTTTATTGTAAGGTCTTGTTTACACGTCGCCGACGAGTAAAATTAAAAGTAATATGAACTTAATAATCCCAACTTAACTAATAATTTTTGTAAGATTTTTGAAGTGTGATTGAAAAGGTCTGACAGTCATCCAGATAATTTTAATTCATAACTTTTACTATACGCAGTTATAGTTGCGATATAAATATAAAACAAAGTTTTCTATAAAAATCGTTTGTATTTTGTACGAAGAGTTTTGAAGTATAATTAAAAGGATTCGACAGTCATTCGAATAATTTAGATATTTTTTGATTATATAACTTATAGTTGAGACAAACCGGCTAAATTTATTCGAATGTACAGGTTCGCATGATATATGTTTATGCGCGTAAAAATCGCACGCGGTGCAATTTTGCTTTGACATTT